TCGAAAATGTTTTGTCGACCAAACAATAGCTAGAAGTTCTTTTTCTGTAGTATCGTAATTACGTTCTGCTTTATTGAGGGTTCGGGAAGCGTACGCAATCGGGAGATCGTTTCCGATTTCACCCTGAGATAAAACTGCGCCGATTCCTTTGTCGCTCGCGTCAGTAGTTAATATAAATTCTTTATTGAAATCCGGGTATTTTAAGATAGGTTTGTTTGACAATAATTGTTTAAGTTTTTCGAAATTTATTTGTTGTCGCATTTCCCATTTAAATGATGTATGTTAAGGACATATAATTTGATTTAAAAAGAAAATATTTGGCGCCACCACTAGCGCTATCAAAGCTAAAACGATTTAAGTCCAAGAGAGGGCGCTGATGGATGTCGGTGGTTGACGACGACAACGACTGGAAGTATTGTATGTAAAAGAACAAGAAGTTATGTACGATAACGTGGAGAATAAAGGCATTTAATATTCGCAATAAACGCATATATTCGCATTATTCGCGAATCCAGCGATTCAGTTGAGCCAGCGAGGCTTAAACAGTTGTAACGATGCGCCCCGGGAAACCGCATTGTCCCGGCGACAAACAGCCGATACCGCCCGAACGAACAGCAGTCGGGCGACGAAACGGCGCGAACGCGCCCATTATAATTTGTTAAACGCCGCTAGACGGTTTAAACGTTGCACGTTTGAACATTAGTCCAGGAGGCATAGCGCAGACGCGCTGCGCTATACGTCTCCCCCACCACCGCGCCAAAACCGGCAACCCGGGGGGTATAAAAAGCCGAGGCAAAGAGTGCCCGGGACCTGTCGTCTACGAGCCATCCGACCGCTCCGACTACGAGACGAAACCTGCTTCCTAGAAATAGTCGAGAAGTCACGAGTCTTGGCTTCGGTCTAGTTGTTCTGGATGACTACTTCAAACTCCTCTCGGCTCTCGCTCTAGGGTAACAAGTCTTTGCCCACGCCACGGGTTCGTGGCGAGCGATCCGGCCAACCCATCCTATTCGAATCGGCAGCACCTCGGGCCCCGTGTTCGGAGCCGAAAGCCCAGTGTCTTGGGCGCCTATTCGAATCCCGACCGACACCTTCTCGGGGAAACCTAACACCGCCGAAACTCCCGTCCGCTAGACGTGAAGAGATTCCGCCCGTGACGCGAGAGCCTTCCGGGAAAACGCTCGACAGCCACCACATGGCACTCGTCGCCGTAACACACGCCTAGAGCGTGCCGCCGTGCCTCTGCGTCACACGCCAGCCGCGACCACCGCCGCCCGCGTTACACGTTGCGACGCACCGCTCACCGTCCGCATCACCCGTGGCGCGACTCACCGCGGAACTGTACATATACGCTTGTAAATAGTTATGGTTGTAAATAGTTAGAGTTAAGAGAATAAATCCGTATTGTATTCGTTCGAGAAATACACGCCTCGTTATTTCCGGAACCCCCCTTCCCTCGCCTGAACCACTTTCGACTCCTGGACACGCCGGCGAGCTGATCCGCGACTCGAAAGGAAGGTTGTTTCACAGTGTATTTTTCCTGAGAAGCGAAGTGAATGGTTGTGTAAGTAAGCTAAAATCTTTAATAAATCGTCGATAATATCCTACAAGGCCTAGCAATTGTCTAAGTTCCTTGTGATTTTTAGGAGCGGGATATTCTTTTATTGACTTTATTTTTCCTGGATTAGGTTTTACTCCGTTTTCCGATATTATGTGTCCTAAATAAATTAATTTCTTCTTAAAAAATTCGCACTTATCTGGTTGCAAGCTGAGGCCTGCCTCTCTTAAACGTTGAAAAAGTTTATTCAGTTTATTTTTATGTTCTTCTAAAGATTCCGCGTAAATGACAATATTATTTAGATAAACGAAGCAAATAGTTCCAATTAGACCTGTTAATACGTTGTCCATTAAACGCTGGAATGTTGCGGGGGCATTCTTTAGTCCAAATGGCATCTTTTTATATTCGAAATGTCCGTTCGGTGTGCTAAAAGCCGTTTTTATTGAATCTTTCGGATTCATCGGAATTTGATGAAACCCGGAAGCTAAGTCAAAGCATGAAAAATATCGCGCTTTGCCT